AAGTTTAAATTAAGCATAATATTTGTATACTATACGAACATCAAATATAATCTCGGGCCGAATAACTGCTTTGGGATTTTTTGGCGGGTCTTTCTCGAGCTACCCTGAGCGAAAAAAGGCAGGGTAGTTATTGTTACATATACGGTATTCCTCCGCAGACACTACGCTACCACATGGCGAAGTCCAAACAGCCGAGAAATGTTTTCATGACACTGGGGCCGAATCCATCATTGCCCGTGCAACACGAGAACGACCTAATCACTTGTATCTTAGCCATGGAACAAGGTGGCAATCCCATCAGGAGACAGCAAATACTGGCTAAAGCAACTGACATGCACGGTTTTGTCCAAGGCTACCCTTCGTCGAGGCCAGTGACTGCTGGTTCGTATCAATGTTTATTGCCACGCCATTTGCAGCTCAAGAAAGCAAAGACCAGCGTTCTCAGCAAGCCGCGAAACACCACAATCAAGGAAGCTGTGGTGTCCTTTGACGAGTTGATCCACGCGATGCCCCTTGTTGAAACCGACACCAATCACATCTTCGACAAGGATGAAATGAGTTTTTCGCATCGAAAATGCCTACAAAGATCGTGGTGCACCGCAACACTATATCCATCTACATCGAGGAGCCGACAGCGTCATCCCATGTCACCATTGTCGCGTGCGTCGGTGCCAATGGATCCAAGATACCATTCATCCTCCCTGGCGATCGAGTGTCAACAGACGTTTGTGATAGTCTGCTCATCCCTCTGATACGATGTCCGAGACGGGCTGGACAAACTCATACATCTGTCACAAGTGACTGCCCATGCTCCATGCGTCAATTCCGTCGACAACGAAGCGACCGATCTTGTTGATACTCGATGGTTGCTCGTCCCATTACTCCACCTACATTTACAACGAAGCTGAATTCCTCGGTATCTTGTTGTTGTTTTTACCAGCGAACTCCACACACCTGTTCCAGCCTTTGGACGTCACGGTGTACCGGCCGTTCAAGCAGGCCGTGTGAGCGGTGGTTGCGAATGACCAGTGGGCTGACTTTCGTTCCAGCATCAACAAGCAGCAGGCCGTATTAATTGCTTGTCGTGTGTGGGAGATGTCGGCCAAGGAGTCGTCCATTACAAATGGATTCACTGTATTATGCCCTCCATCGTTGGCCAACATGATGTATATGCTGTCGATGTCAAGCAGTCAGAAGACCAAGAAATTGAAATCGACGACACGTGGCTCAAGCGCACTGCTACGATAAGGAACGACTTGCTACTATAGCTGCCAGAGAAGAAGAAGCGTGCTGTGGGGAAAACCTTGATGGTTAGCGGGAAGTGAATCACCGCCGATTAGAATGCCATCCTTCAAGCTCAATCCACAGCTCGTCCAAAGGCCCGCAATAGAAAGCAGTGAAATATTCATGCCCAAGACGAAATTGTGGAGGCTTTTGCACAAAATGAGGAGGACATGGCTTGCTTATATCATTGACAATCATATTGGTCAAAATCGCATGGATGAATATTTACCTTGTAAACTTAAATAATTCGTAAATATAATAAAACGTTATAATATAGTAATTTCCGTGTAACTTAACGTAATTTATTTAATCGTTTAATCAAATATAAATTTTGGCAAATCACTGATTGCCTGTTTGAGTGGCCATCTTGACCAATTTTTTGGATCGACGAATAATCCTTTAATTGATATGAGTGTTTCTCATGCGAAATAGCTTGAAACGAGCAATTAGGATATGCACCTTCCACATTCAGGATGTCAATCATGAAGATATGGTCAAAGGAACATTACACAAATTTGGCGCGTTACAGTTGGCGAAGCAGTTCCACAATGTCAAGAGGGACGTGGAAAGAGGTAGCACTGAGGAGGGACGACGAGGTGAACACTTCTGTGGTCGAGGGTTAAACTAAAAGTGATCATTAATGGACTGCTTAGCCGACCTATGATTGGGCAGAAACAGTCCGGCTTCTACAGAAAGAGAACACCGGATAATTCCGGATGACCGGATATTATCCGTAAGTGCCCGAACCTCGGCGATAAAGGCCAAAGCAAGAACGGCCAAAGAGCCCCTTCTTGAAAGCCACCCCACTGGGCAACAGACTGCTGAAGGCATTCGCGACGAAGTTCTCAAAGAGAAGGCAGTCCCAGAGGCAAAATGTCTTAGCAAAAATTTCGCAGAGGCCAGAAAATGCCAAAGGCATGCCACTACATAAGCCACCCTGAAAACAGAGGCGAAAAAGGTAGGAAAGGAACACACATAAATTAGTGTTGAGTACATATGTGCATGGTTATACATAGAGTAAAAGTCTAAGGTAATGCATAAAAGCAAGGGTGCTCTATGAGCATGGTAAAGACCATAAAGTGCATTGATGCAACGAAGAATAATAGTGTTGCTAAAAGTAGCGGGTAAAACCCAAGTAGAATTGCCATAAGCAAAGGTAAAAGTAATACTCTGAGAGTAGGGGTAAAAATCCATGAATTGCACGTAGGATGGATGGGGGGGCGTGGGAGCACCATGAAAGAAACTTGCACAAACCATGACGCCACTCGTACGGCCGATCCTTGAGCAGTGCCGTGGGCCAGACGGGACCGTCGACTTCAAAACGACACGAGCAGGCATGGAGTGCACAAGTCGCCACATGGTCGAGCGCGAGAATGAAGGCGAGGAATGAGAAGTGTTTGTTTAGAAAGCAGGTGCAAATAATGCATGATAAATATCAATAATAACCATAAAGGCTTAATATAAGTAAACGCAATGCAATAATAGACAAAGGTCACTAGGGTACACGGCCATAAAGGTCATCACCAAGGGCGTAGAGTCGCAGAGCGAGGTAGAACCTTCGAAACGCAGGTTCCGGGTGCGCCTTCGTACTGTAAAGAAGTCTACAAGTTGTTCTTTTGTAGGCGTAGCTGACTCCAAACTCTCCGCAACTAGTCTTGCGCGCCTTTGGCACCGCCGTCTCGGTCATCCTGGCATTGATACGAACCTGAGGACCCAGTTCATTCTGTCGGCGGGTAGATCTGCCTACTTTGAAGTCTTCATTGACGATTACTCCCGCTTTATGTGGGCTTATCCGATGCTTTATCGCAAAGATCTCTATGAGATGGATGAACTATTTCGTACGGATGCCATGTATATTTTGAAACATGATGTTGGCGAGTTGCGTCATATGCATCCCAAAGACATTGGCACTCTCCAAAGTGACAACGCCAAAGAGTTCGAGAAGCTCGACCGCCTCATCCAGCTGAAGTACAACACTCGGGTGGCGTTTTCCAACGCCTACTCGCCTCAACAAGATGCCGTCGCTGAACGCCGTATCGGCATTGTTGTTCAGAAGATGTCAGCTATGCTCATCGAAGGGGCTTTGCCCAAGTTCCTATGGGCTCTTGCCCTCGACTATGCCTCATGGATTATTATCACCTCTTCTTCGTCCTCGAACAAGGGTGTTTCACCTTACCATGTTGTATTTAACCGACACCCCTTGTTGGGTCACATCAAAATCTTTGGTTGCACAGTGTTTGTGCACATTCAACGTGCCGCGAGCGTGCCGTCAAGGCAATGTCCGTGGGTCTCTCACACAACCGCAAGGGTTATACCCTTTTGCACTTGCATTCTCATGAACTCATCTACTCTCTGACGTTACCTTCTGGGAGCCCGAATTTCCCGCGGTCAGCTCTGTTGAAGCCACCGCTGCGTATCGCAGACGGCTTGCTTCAGATCCTACTTTTGATCCGTCCTTGGAACCCAATGCCTCATTGCTCTCACTACATTCTCTTATTGAGAACCGGCCTAGTGCCTTCAATTACGACAAGCCTCTGGCTCCATCACTGCCTACCCCGTCAGCACAACCCACGTCGTCTCGACCCATCATGACACTCACTGTGTCTCAATCTGACGGTCTTTTCGATGTGTTCTCTACCTTTCCGTTGACAAGCCCGGTCTATGACCCAACTGCCATTCCTCTACGCCGACTTTATGGTCGTATTCCATCTCCTGTTCCTCCCACCTTTCATCACTGGTCTCTTCGACCCGCCCATCAACACCACCCACTTCCCTCGACTTTATTAGTCAATTATCAACTCGTCTCCTCATGGACACAACTCCTATGGAGTCCCTCGCCGCCAACCGCACTACGCCGAATAATTCCGGATGACCGGATATTATCCGTAAGTGACCGAACCTCGGCGAAAAAGGCCAAAGCAAGAATGGCCAAAGTGCCCCTTCTTGATGCTGGGTCAGTGTCAAGTAGGGGCACTTTGGCCGTTCTTGCTGAACGAATATACTCGGAACTTGCCTTTATTTTGATGTGAATTTGACTCAGCTGCTGAAGATTGCCACGTGGTACGGTTGAGTGTGCTAAGCCAAGCCAACCTGGTGGTGCACCCATACTATGGAGGCAAAATACTTCGCCTGCGACTTGCCTTTAATTTGGTGTGAGTTTGACCCATCTGCTGAAGATTGCCAAGTGGTACGGTTGAGTGTCCGAATAATAGTAAGTGCAGTACAGTAAGTTACGCAATATCTTATTCCTGTTCAAATATAATACTCCTTTATCATTTTATAAATTCCAGTCTGCTGATAGAAACACCCGCATATCCCGCAGGATGGATGTCACTTGCACTAAGTCAACCAATTCCTGACAAAGGCTAAGCACAACTAGTGTATGGGTCTACGAGTACTACTCTATTCCACATGTGAATTTCAATGTATCATCGAGATGGATTGGTGGCTGCAGGCATCTTGGTCAGTATTCCTGGTTGCGTTGAATGACCCTGCACGCGTGCGTGGTCTTCGCTTCAATGTTGACATTTTTGGCCAACTTCATTTTCCTTTACGCTCCACGATGGTCAAAGTCCTCATCTCCCTCAGCGTGTTGACCGCTGTCGCTATGGCTGGCTCCGTCACGGAACTCCCCGAGTCTGTGACCAAGCTCATCGATTACTCCATCAACCCCTGCGACCACTATTACCAATATTCGTGTGGCATGTGGCACAAGGATGATGTGCTACCCCCGGACGTATACCACATCGATACGTCGTTTAACAAGTTAGACATCCAAAACGAAGTCGTATTGACGAAGATTTTCTCTGACAACAAGACCAAGCTTCGTAAGTTTGGTGAGTTTTACAACTCCTGTTTGGACACGGCTACGCTATCGTCACTCGGCCTGACTCCGCTGGAGGACTCGTTCAAAGCCATTCGGTCGGCCAGCACCAAGTTGGACCTCCTGATTGTGGCTGCCAAATTGGCCAAGAACGGCATCCCTGCCTTCGTAGAAGTCAATGCGGGTGTGGAATTTTTGCACGTGGTTATATTTAAGTGGTATATTTGCGCGTGTTTCAATCTACGTACGCCAATTTGGACGGTTTGCACGTGGTATAATTTCCAGTCAAAAATAGTTGCCTGTAGACCGCGCAAATAATCCAACAGCTTGCTCTGCAAGTTACTACGCAGGAAGCATGAAGCCCACATGATTTTGGCCATTCGATCAAATATAGATACATGTTGGATTACTCTACCTCGACCCATCCGTATTCATGGACTAGTGCCATCACTGAGGGATGCCCTCGACACACACAAACTACTACATCTCGGCCATTCCTTGACCAAAACCACTCATTCTTGAACTGGTGTCACCGCTAAGGGCATCCCTCAGCGGTGGTACCAGTCCCACATACATTGCGAAAGACCGACTTGCCAACGTCTGTAGCGATGTCACAGGTGGAAGTAACGCCTTGCCGCCACTTGCCCGCACCCAGCTCCTAAGTACCTGGATCATGACGCACCCTAGCTAATGCTTGCCTGGGAATGTGTCTCAAGGGCAAGTATGGCTTAGAATCGCTAGCCTAGTGAAGTTCCCCAATGTCTCAACCGCACCCGCATCCATTGTATACAAAAGTGCATACTAGTGTAGAAGTAGTGAAGTAGACTAAGAAGATTTCATAGTGTTGAGGATTAAGGAGATCTTAGTAGATCCTCAGTTAATTCATTGTGCATTTTGCCCTCAACTGCACACGCTTCCCCCCGCAGTGCTACAATTGGTAGCACTTCCTGGTTACCTCGCCCCAAGCTCTGTCAAACCGCTGTACGTAGCCAGTCTTCTTAGACGGTTGTTGTGGTCGTTTGCAGAGACTACACATCGCCAAAGGTTTTAAAAACGTGGTCTTTGCTACCCGTTACCTGGTGATAGTCTCAGCAACAAAATCCATACACGTTCTGAGTGAACTGCTAGTGTATACCCCGTAGCAAGACCCTCAAGTCCCAACTCGCGGCCACGAAAAACATCGGCCAATTATTCGACTGTCCGGATCTGCCGGTTAAGCTACGCCAAGACCTTCGCGTGTTGACCCGTCACCAACGCGTGGTTATCAACAAGTTGCGTGCCCAGATCCCCGAAAGCGAAGAACTCCGACGCCCGCAACGCTATCCAAGAGATCACAGACTTATTGATCCACCGGAACGATCAAATCGAAGAACTGAATGAAGGAGTCCTCGACCGCAAGATCCAAGTGTATCACAAGGCCCGTAAGATTAAGGCTGAAGCGAGAGTAGATCGAAGTTCGAAGTAGAGTAATTGAATTTCACCAGAATTACAAGGTGGATGAAGTTTTGCGCACAATGGCAGAATCCTTTCAGCGACATGAACAGTTGTTGGAAATGCTTACCCGTACCCAAGCCGCTCCCTAATTTAAAAAATTATTAGGTCTAAAATAATTATTCTCTACTAAAGGTTAATACCAAACCTTAAATTCTTCGAAACGTTTTTAGTATTCAAGATTTTATCCTTACAATAAGAATTCTATCAAGTGGAAGCGAGCGAGCGAATGGCCAGTCAACACATCGAACGAGCGACACGACAAACAGAACTTAGAGTTGAAGGATTAAAGATGCCGAAGTATTATGGACGAATGGACGAAAGTATCAATTGGCCTATACATCCACCAAGTTACGACCTTTTTCAAGGCAAAGAACGTGGATTACCAAGAAGACGATGGGACTCAACAGCGATGCATTGTCATGATGGTGGCAAATTTCCGTGGCCTTGCCGCAGCCTGGTACCAAGACCGGCTTTCGCGCGGTGCCAAGTTCCGACGAATCTGTACGCAAGTGTGCGACATGACCGAGCGCGACAAGGTGTCCTGGTTCCAACGTGGTCTGCGAACGAGAACTCGTGAGGAGTTGCAGTATCGTCGTTGTGAGACTGTGACTCTCGCGATCCAAGTTGCCCTGGACTATGAACGCTCCCACAACTCGACCCTTAATGG